ACAGCTTATATTTCTCTCCAGGATGGTGTCACAGCCAAACAGGAACAGACCAGATGAAGCTACTTTGAGAAAAAGCAGAGAGAGATCATAACGTTATAGATTGAAAATCTGCAGAGTGGGAGAATAGTGATAGAATGAAACAGAATTATGAAAAAGGGTCTTTTTGTCCTCCAGGAGTCTAAGCCTATAGCAGCATAACCATAGAGATAGCTCAGGATAACCTGAGCCACTTGTTAGAGTTTACTTTGTTTTAAAATTTTGAAGAAGTATCGCTTCCCATCCAGAAAGCTTTCCCAATTCAAAATGCCTGGAGTAACGTTGAGCTTATAGAGTAGCCCAACAAAAGCCTTGTTATGGCTTAGAAAACATGCAAATTGAACCAAAAACAGGTCCACCCCTTTGTAAGGGGGAGTTGTTAAGGTCGTCGTTGGCCTGCAAATTAACCTGAAACTGGCTTTAGAAGTTAAAATATACAATCTGAATTTGATCCTTCAAGTCACAGTCATTTGAAGAAAAAAAAAACAATAGCATGTTTGGATGTTTATGCCTGGCTCTTAATTAATATTAGAGATTATTAATTAAGAGCTTAAAAACTAATCAGGTTTTCATCATGTTCAGTAACATTTTAATTCAGACTTTCTCGAAGAAAAAAAAAGATTCAGTCTGGTTTTATTTCATTGAGTTTAATGTTTATTCAGACAAGTATCCCTTTCAAGCACTTCGCCTATAAAAGCAAATATTTCACCTTTGGCTGAAACTTAGAAAATAGAGACCAGAAACCTCCGACACTCAACTGTTAGGGACAGAAATAGAAGAATGATATGCAGAGACTAAGTGACCTGATCAGCCGAAGTGCAGGTGATGATTATGTAAGATTTTATGAAGGTTTTTTGGAATAGATTGTGTCAGCAGTCAGAGCACATTGTTTTATAAAATACTCATTGAGGTAATGGATGCAGGGATAGGTGAGACGGTGGAGCAGAGCTGCAATGAGTCACACTTGGCTTGCTGTGGCAAAGCTGCAGCCAAATCCACTATTCATAAAAAGACAGGCCATATTACCTTACCCAACCATCTACTGTTGCCAGTAGCAACAAGTCTGAA